CACTCAATCCCCTCATCCAGGTCATTGATAAAGATATTAAACAAGACTGGCCCTAGGACTGAGCCCTGGGGGACACCGCTTGTGACCGGCCGCCAACTGGATTTAGCTCCATTCACCACGACTCTCTGGGCTCGGCCATCCAGCCAGTTTTTAACCCAGCGAAGAGTACATCCGTCTAGGCCATGAACTGCCAGCTTCTCCAGGAGAATGCTATGGGAGACTGTGTTGAAGGCTTTGCTGAAGTCCAGGTATACAACATCCACAGCCTTTCCCTCATCTACCAGGTGGGTCACCTGGTCGTAGAAGGAAATCAGGTTGGTTAGGCAAGACCTGCCTTTCATGAACCCATGCTGACTGGGCCTGATCCCCTGATTGTCCTCCAACCCAATCTCATCAACAAGCCATGACAAAAGTTATTATGGAGATAGTGCTAGGAGTACACAACCTTCTCTTAAGACACTCCCTTCCCATAATCTACAAGCTCTCACAGACCTGCTTCTCAGGTGAAACACTTGGTTTTCAGTTCACTTGGATTCACCAACAGATAGGAGAGGTTGGGCAGATAACAAAGCCCCAAGATTTTGGGAGTTGAGACAGACCATTACTGACCTCAACACAATGCGGAGACACCTAGTAACATGAAAGAGCAACAGTGTTTCAACAATACTGTTATAAAGGTACCAAAGAGTCATTTAGTAGCCCAATTTTTCTATCATTCAATATCATATAAATTTAGAATTGCGATACCATGTTCGTATTTTCTGCCCTGAGAAAGTTATAATAATGAGAATTGCTTATAATAATAAGCAATTCGGTAAATAAAGATATCATTTTTATTGTTGCTATGTTGTAACAGAAAACAGACATTCTACAGTCTTTATAAAGTTCAAGGATCGCTATGTTTAAGCATTTCCTCCTAGCTGCTGAAGTATGAATACTTCTAATTAAAGCACAGCTATTTGATTGTCCTAACTTATTACCCTATCTTTTGTTTCTTAGTAGTCTTAACTTTTCTCTCAAGAGTTAATTAGTAGCTGTAACTGTGTTCTAATATCATACACCACATACTGCTGAGCTGCTCACACCCAGATAGTCCCAACTCCCCTCTTCCCTATTCAGCACTTGTAAGTCGGTCCCTTGGCTATTCTGTTTCCTGCCTAGAACCGCCTTCCTCCGCAGTAATTATGCACTGGCAGTCCACTCAAACTCTGTGAGGAATAAAGCATGAAAAGTCTCAGTCTTACAAATAGCAAAAGGTAAAATTTGCTACATAAATCTGTGCACCTTATGGAAGATTTGTCAGTGTATAGGAAATTTATGAAAGAAAAAAAAGTAAGCCCTTGCATTTACTGTCACAACTGTATGACTCTCAAAATGAATATATGTGTGTTATACATATATACACACCTCTACACACAATATATGTGTGTGTGTGTGTGTGTGTGTGTGTGTGTGTATTTATTAACTGACTTCACCGAAAGAAAGGCTCAGAAGTTCCTGCGCTTTTCATCATGGGCTCAAGGGAGTGGAAAGGAAAGGCGCGGCAGACTGGTAACTGGAACTTCCTGAAGTTCTGACTGAACTTCCATATATAATTCTCTGACTTCCTTGAGGAAGAGTGACAACACAGCCTTTACAGACAGTCACTTTTAAGTGCACCCAGGCACTGAAATTATCTTAATTAACTGACTTCACCTTCAGCATGATAATGAGCAGAACTATGCAAAGGCACATAAAATGTTTTCTTTAAAAAATTTGAGGCCACTCTTACTTTCATTCCTATTGCAGTATGTAATACTTTACAATTACTTATTACTGTGTAACTATTACATTACATGACAAATAGAACAGTACAAAAAATTCCCACTCTGAAATAACTGTGAAAGAACAAATCATTGTACAGCCTTCAAAATAAGAGTAGAAGCAATGATACACCACTTTTCAAAACTGGAGATCTTTAAAGATTGGCTTTTAAACTAAAAAATAATGTTATTTATGTTTTCAAAATTAATAATTTCTGACATTTGCATTACATACAGGATCATACAAAACTGAAAGACCTATCATCCTCATCCCAACACAGCAAATACCGTAGCAGTCAACCCACTTACTTCACAAATGGCAAAGCAAGTTTTAAATTCTTGTCCTGAATTAGGACAAACTGTGATGAGACTCTGGGTCTCCCACAATCAAGCCAAGAATCCAAATCACTTAGGAGTGGCTCTTCCTTAGATTCATAGTTCTTCACTAAGGGCAATTTGATTTTGAAAAATATCTAACAAATTAATAATCTTCCTACAGGTCAAAAATGCTCTACCTATAAATTAATCTTTGGGGCTGCTCAGCAATACCTGAAGAGTTCAATAAAAGCTATTTTTATACCTCTGCCCTTTGCTTCCATTCCTAGGGAAATTTTAGATGACATATGGGCTTCATATTTCTCTCACCTCAAATTAATCAGCATTGCCACATTCTAGAGAAAAGCTACAAACTAAAGTGGGAAAAAATCAGGGATGCTGGGAAAAAAAACAAAATAGAATATTACCCTCACTTAAATTCTTTGCCTTATTTCAATTCTGTCTGAAGTCAATATTGATCCTACACTAGACAAAAAGGATACCCAGATTTATCAGTACCTTCAATGGAAAAATTAAAGGCAAGTCCAGATGGTAACATTTACTTACTCGTCTATTTGACAGACACATGTTTCCACCTCTTTGAGTGCAGCTTGTAATTTGAACAGCAATTTTTGATAGACATCTTGTGTTTCTAAATCTTCTTCTTTTAAGAGGTACCTCAGACCATGGCCCTCTTGCTGGCCAAGAGACTGTCCTGAAGGGGCAGCCATAGTAGTAATGGTATGTTGGACATAAATCATGGGATTCAGTTTACCTGGGAATAATCCGAAGAGGTTACATCATTATCTTTTTTATAGCATACATTTTGAAGTTAGTAAAATACCTAACAGACATTGAAATATTTTCCTGCTTAAAGCTTCATGTAATTATTTAATCTTGCATTTTATTTTGCATATCAAACTCGAGCTATTTAAGGAAAAAGTTGCTGTGAAATTACGACTAACCTTTATTATGCTTCATAATAAACCTAAGTATCGAAAATGGGGGGATTTCATAAAGGCTTGTCCTTAATTTAATATTTGGGACATAAACCTAAACCAGTTACCTTTTAAGATGCTATATCAGAAGCACTGGAAATAGTTCTTTCAAGTTCAACTGACTTACCTTGATCAGTGTTTTTATTTTCCTTTTCATGGGAAGAGTGTTTTCTGCTGTCTAACTGTACACCAAAGGCACTACCAAGGGAAGTTGAGGTTTTAGGGTAAGACACTTCCATCACATTGATATGGCAATTCGTTGGACAGAAATCACTGCTGTGAAGTGGTGAAATCTTTGACTTAGCTTGTTTGAAGGTAGGCCAAGCTCTGTTTTTTAATACTCTTGAAAACTAGAAGCGAGAAAGAAAAAATTTTGATTAACAGCTTTTGATGTGTCAGCACTTGGCTGAAAAAACTTGGGTACCTGACTAGAAAACAAAAGTTTAAAATAATTCAGGCATCCTTGACTTCAGATGCCTTGACTTCATAATTTCCACCTTTCTCTACAAGGGAAAGAAAAAATATTTTTCTTTTTATATTTTTGAGGGGTTGTAAATTATATTTACAAACATAAATAGCCTTGTAACAAGGACACAGAATTTATTTTCCTTGCAACATAATAAAATATTAAGTGTCTTCCTGGGGAGAAAGTCTGGAAATGCTCTATGATCCAGTGCTGTACTGCACATGACATTTATAAACATCTGCTGACATAGACATTTTCAAGTCAATGTCTTGCAAAAATTTCTGAAATTGTTGCCTGAAGCTATAATAAAGACAGAATTGGAAGCTATGAATTATGAATTTCATATTCAGGAAGGATGAAATCCTCCCTAATGGTCTCCTGGGCTGCCTTAGGAGAGGTGTTCCAGTGGGTAGAAGGAGGTGATCCTGTATCTATGCTCAGCTCTGGTGAGGCCACACCTGGAGTACTGCGTCCAGTTCTGGGCTCCCCAGAAATAGAGAGACATGGGCATACCAGATAGAGTCCAGAGAAAGGCACTAAGATGGTTAAGGGACTGGAGCATCTCTCCCATGAGGAAAGGCTGAGAGAGCTGGGACTGTTCAGCCTGGAGAAGAGAGGGCTCAGGGGCATCTCATCAATGTATTCAAATACCTGAAGGGAAGGTGCAAAGAGGACAGAGCCAGGCTCTTTTCAGTGGTGCCCAGTGACAGGACCAGAGACAGTGGGCACAAACCAAAACACAAGAAGGTTCCCTCTGAACACCAGGAACACTTTTTCACTGTGTGGGTGACTAAGCACTGCCACAGGTTGCCCACAGAGTTTGTCTGATCTCCGTCCTTGATGATACACAAAAGCTATCTGGAGATGAGTCTGGGCAACCATCTCTAGGTGGACCTGCCTGAGCAGGGGGGTTGGACAAGACCTCCAGAGGTCCCTTCTGACCTCAACCATTCTGTGATTTTGGGTGATTCTGTAAAGCTGATAAACATTAGAAAATAAAATTTGCAAATGCCATGTTTTACAGACTTTGCTAGTCCACCACCTCTTCTCTCCCCCATTTATCAGATCAGCAATGATGAACAGTTCCCCCCCTCTGTTTTATGGTCTAATTCTAATACAGTGCTTAGCTACATCTCCTCACTGTAACACCTGAAATTTTGTGCACATACTTGAACAGACTTAAAGTTGATGAGATGATAACAACCCAAAATGGCTGAGATTGAACTGCACTAAATTTGGACACTTAGAAAATACACCTACTTCAGAATCATAAAAATCACGAGATCAAGCTCTCCCACTGGAAAAGAGACTTGTCAGTCACAAGTATGATTTTTGTCAAAATGTGTCCTTTCCAGTGCAGTTTGTTGTTAGGGGAGAATTTTTTCCAAGTCCCTGGTATTTTAATCACAGTATCTCTCCAGTCAAAATATTGCACAGACTACCTCAGATATGGAGCACAGCTCATGCATAAGAATATTTTCAAAGTTAACTTGCAAAGTTCCTTCCCTAATAAATGTCACTACAAATTCAATCAGTCAAATTTTGACTAACACTTCAGTTGAACAAAGGTATGTCCCGTCTGACTAATAAAAAGTTTTTGTGCTGGGATTTAAATTTCTGTTTATTCTG